ACTTATGCTGGCAGACATTATCCACGCCCCAATGATTGATGAGGATGAAAATCAATTTTATTTCTACATACTTAATTATATTTATTCATATATAAGGGTAACTTTAATAAAGGTAATAAAAAATCAACAAGGAGTATAAGGGTTCAATCTTTCAATTTCAATTGTAAAAAAAACGTTACCCCACACTAGGATTTTCTCCTGTGTCGTGGAGGCAGTTTACAAACATAAATTGCACAAGGACAAACATCCAGACCCGGAACAATTATTAGTAGGCCATACAAATACTTGTTCCGTGCGAGATTCGAACCCGCGGCCCCCAGCGCAACAACTGATTGCTAAGCCACTTCGCCACGAAGCAGTCGCCGGGTTATAGCTAAAGTGACCATACGTCCCGTTTTGGACGGGACTGTCCCTTTTCTCGGTCACCTGTCCCATTGTCCCCAAACAAAGCACAAACAAAAGACACAAAATTGTCCCGTAACTCGTTGGATGGAAGTATTCAAAGTCAACAATCTTCAACATAATTTTTTTTAATCGAATATATTTTATGTCTACCTGGTACGAATGCTCCGGTAGAAAGAGTATTTTTTTATTTTGAATAAATTGTGGCCGTCTGAAAGAAACACTTACGGTTCCAGAGTTCTAAAGGCGATGTTGTTAACAAAGATAACAATAAAAAAACTTGAGCAGAATTTTATTCTTATTTAAAATCGTCACCAACTTAGCAAATTTAATCCACTGACAAATGTAATTAATAATTAAAAAAAATATGTTGCATTTAATAATTACCGTCTATACCGAATATAATTTTATAGTGAACACTAATTGTATAAAGTTATAGTTTTTAGAGTATAAATAAACCCATGTCCTGTTTTGAGTTAAAAAATTTAGTTTTAAAAAATGGTCAGTTTAGTCTTTTTAGTTAAATTTAGTTTTAAAAATTTTTAGATAGTCAAAAGTAGTTATATTAGTACCTACTTAGATACTTTTTACCGAATTATAAGTATAGAACACCTTATTTACTCAATTATTTTTTGAAAAAGAAGAAAAAACAAGCAATAATATACTATATTTTAGCAAAAAAGTATAACTTAGTAATACTAATTATAACTTAGAACATAAATGAAAAACTCATAACTGACTGTTAAATTGTCGCTGCTGACCTTGAGCCAGTAGAGCTATGTTCATTTCAGTGGACTTTTGATAGGCTGACGATAATGAGTTCTACTAATCTTTGCAAGATTTAATGTTTATGGCAGAGTGAAAACAAAAAGTAACACACCCGAAAACATGAATGAAATAAAAACTGCATATATTACCCCATGAAAAGTAAACAAGTAACAGCTTACATACATGTTACTACTGGGCACAGGTCGCAGAGTTTTTGGCCAAAAAAGTGTTCGCTGCGCTGATTCCAACGCGGGATGAATATTATGTAATTTTTTTTAGGATAACGGTGACAAACGAGCACACAGTCTACCTGATGGTAAGTGGTTGCTGCGGCCCATAGACATCTACATCTATCCTCTATTACAAATCAAAATGTAAATGCGTTGTCACCCGTGAGGACTAAGATGGAATGCCTCATTTCCAGTAAAAAGGGCCTCCAGCCACCTGCACTCACCAAGCGAAACGCAGAGGTAAACCTCTATATCACGCTGGTTTTCTGTGAGGTCGTGGTACCACCCCGGTTCGAGCCGGCCATCCATCCAAAAGCTACCGTGTGGCTCTACCACTGTTAAATGATTCAATTATTTACATCGTATATTCTGTAGCATTGTATTATTTCATTTTATCAATGACTTGCCATTTTAGTTTATTTAGAAGTAAGTAGCGCTAATATTAAATGAAATATTAATTATTTCCAAAACTATACCATCTAGTAATATAAGCGAACATTTATTTTTTATATCAATAAGTGATAAAGTGATGTCAATTCTCTTAAAGTTTTGTTTCTGTTAAAAATACGCTATCAGCGCCGCTAGCGTTGAAAAACGATTTAATGATATTTTCATATGACCATATTATGAAATAGCAACGTTGTGTTTAGTTATTAAGGCCTTAACAGTGGTTAAAATGCCTAAATCTAGGATATTTAAGTAAAAAAATCTCAATAACTGTTCATTTAATCCACAAAGACAAAATACAGGGTAACAGAAGAAGATTTGGTAAATGTTTTTAATTTAACAAAATTGTATTTTTGTCAACCCCATATTAGAAAAAAAATCCCCAAAGAGTACCTATCTTTGTTATATTTTGCAAAATTTCTCCAAAACGGCACAAGCTTTTTAAATAGTTCTTACACTAAAAAAAAGGTCTTAAAAATATTAATATTTTTAATTGAGAGTTTTATTTTTATTGCCCGTTTTATGAGAGAATATATCATTTTTCTCTGAAATTGAATATATTTACGCGAGCGCGCATGCTCCGTCGCCATGTAAGCTCTGTCACAGTCCGTTTCCGGACATCGTCGAGGGTGGACCGCACGTCGGTGTTGGAGCGACTTCGTTCAAATATATATTAGTTTTTTAAAAGTTTATAATCAATTATAAATATTTTTATGACTAGAAATACTTAATTTAGTTAATATCTGTACACTGGTAACTGTAAATATTATTTTCTAAATAAATTAATTTTTAAAGTGCCCAAAGAAGAAGAAATTTTGGCGGCGACGTTGATTAGTGAAATTGAAAAATGCATTTTTATATAATTTAGATGTGGAATGACGAACATACTCTCGTTACTTAGATTTCGATAGTTTTTAATACCTATGTAATTTTATTGTTGCATATTTTTATTAAGTAGTTGATACTGAATTTTATATAATACGCTGTTTTTATGAGTATGACTTTATAAAATATTATTGGAGAGGGAAATAAAGATACTTACATTTAGGTACACTGTTATCAAATTAAATCAAACAATTTAAATAAATAAAAGAATGGTGCTTACCTAAGTATAAATAACTATATAAAGACATTCTTGGGTTTATGGTTTTTTTTTATGTTAGACAAACTATCATCTAAAAAATGAAAAAATTTTAAATTGGAGAGGGGTTTCTCTACGTGATAAAGTTAGAAATGAAGATACATTAGAACCAGAGTACATGACATAGCCCAACGGACATAGCGCACGCACGCACGCACGCACGCACGCACGCACACACGCACGCACGCACGCACGCACGTACGCACGCACGCACGCACGCACGCACGCACGCACGCAGGCACGCACGCACGCACCCTTATTCTGTTAAAAAAAACTTTCTGAGATTTCAGTAAAATAATGTTAAGTATTGTAAGCACTCGTACAATTATGTCTCATGTTAATAAAGCTATTGGACTGTTTTGATTTGTAATAAAGTGATTTTACTTTATAGGTTAAATAATTTATTTACCTTTCTATATCAAGAACCGTTTTTCTGTCACTCCTATTGAATTTAACAGTGCTTGCTGAAATTTAGCATCTTTAGATGGATCAGAATCGCGCGCTGATCCGGCTGTTAGATATTGCAAAAATAATTGAAAATATTTATTTTTACTTTCATGCCGAAGACTACCTTGTTTTATTTTATTACGGTCAAATAATATTTATTAGGTTATAAAGCAAGTATTTTTGTAAAGGTTTTGTATGTAAATGTAAATGTTTTCATTATTTTGTTATGCTATTGTTTACAGTTATTATCACGTCTTAGCTTTACACCAAGAATTACATTAGAAATTCTTGATGGGATGCGATGTAACGCGCATACATTATTTTCATCAAGAACTATAATATATATATTTGTTTTTTTTTTACCAGTAGAGTTTCAACAAAATCTTAAAAAAGTTCAATGAATTAAAAAAAATGCCATTAATTATATAATTTTAAGTCAGTGTTTTACTTTTAAAGATCAGTTATAAAGAGCCAAAGTTATTATTTTCATTTTGATTAATTTAATTCGAGACTAAAATAAATGTGAAAGGGCTTTTATTTGCAATAATAATTTTCATCAAAAATAACATAGAATTATAAAAGTCATATACACGGTCAATCATACTGAATATTATCAATTGTACTACAAAATATCTAAAAGACTATTATTCTAGTATAATGACCCGAATATCATCATTAATGTTTGACTGGCACACTTAAAAGTTTTATCCCATGGCTAAATGATTGACTATTATATTATGATAAGGTCATGCTTTTCTATAAAAAATTGCAAGAAATTATAAAGAAAATTTTTTTAACGTCATTCTAAATTCAATATGGCGGACTCCTAAAGAAGGAGGACTAGTTATTTTTTTTGCGTTCCCATGATGGGTATCAAATAAAAGGATTTGCTGAGAAGAATTTCAAAAATAAAAATAAAGCGCATTTTTTTATTTTTGTCTCAAACTCGTTCGCATAAATTAAACGTTTTCAAATGATAATTTTAAAATTAAAATTAAGCAATAATTTATATTAACGTAAGTCTTACCATACAAACTTGTGTAGTGAAGTGTTAAAGTTACGAAAGTTAGAATCAAGAAATGTATTTATTATATATTTCTTAAACATTTATTATTATAGATTTTTTAAACAATAATCATCGGGTTTAAAATTTATCAGGTCTTTGTAAGTTTAAGCTGAATATTTACAGTTTTTTTAACTGAGCTTTGGTAGTCAATTCGATCGTTTATGTAATTTGATATAATTATATAATGCTAGTAATACGATTAAATGAAGGAAAAAAAAAATTAGTTAAGCTGGCAACATTAAGATAAGTACGCCATCAGTCGCGCGCAAAGTTATCTTGCGCGCACAATAAGAAGTATTTCCTTGTATGTTTTTTTTTGCAATTGATATTTTTATACAATATTCTTACTAATAATAAAGACATACGGAATTATACGGATCTTCAAGAACCCAGTACAGATTTTACTTCGTAAAAGGTTGGCAACACTGCTAAATAAAGCTAAATTTACTAAATTTGAATTAATCATGTACATAATTATTAAGAATTCTTTTTGTTTATTATGCTTGTAAGTTATTTTGTTCTATATAATCTGAAAATTCATAAATGTCACGATCTAATAGTGTATATATGTGATTGTTTACTATTTTCAGAAATTAGGACTCCCGTCTATTACATCAGTATTTACAAGACAGTATCAATACAATTTATTATGTACAAATACTCTTCAAGCTACTGAAGAAGCAAAGGAAAAGGAAATAGAGAGAATCACACAAAATGTAAGTTTTTTAAAAAATATTTAACAAAACACTAAAAATAAAAAAAATAAAATTGATCTTACTATTTCTCATAACCTTTTAATATTAACCTATGCTATAAGTAAATTGAACTAAATATACTGAACTTTATTTTATAACTTTATCTTCTTATAATGCAATTTGTCTCATGCATAATGTAACTGTTGGATAATTTGTAGTTAGTAAACTAGGTGTAAGAAAACTCACAACTCCATTTCATCCCGTGGACGTCCTAAGAGGCATAAAAGAGAAGCTGAAAGTGGAAATGTGCAGTAGCAGTACCTGAGGACTGCCTCGTTTCCGGTAAAAAAGGGTCTCTGGTTATCTACACTAATGAAATGTACGATATGAAACACAGCAGTTATGAGCTGCTATTTCAAGCTGGTATTCTGTGAGAGCATGGTCCTACCCCAATCGAGCTGACCCATTTGTGACACAACCATAATGTTATAGCTGCAGTATGGCTCTACCTACCACATATGCCCTTGTATGGTGGACAAGGAATGTGACAATATATGGAAGAGGCCTATGTTCAGATCTAGATTCTAGTCTTCTGATAGGCTCGTATTTCTATTTTTATGTATATCATATAAACATATATTTAAATGTATAATATAATATTTCATGATTTATCTATTTTTATTGTTTTTCTATATATATGTATGCATATATTTTTTTGTTTATTTAGTGTATATGTCTAGTCAACTTAACATTTTATTTAGCGCCTACCTACTTTTATTTATCTGTTTCTCCAGGGGTCTCTCTGGTCTGGTAGAGAATGCCATAAGGCAAATAATTCCACCCATTGTAACCCCTAGAATAAGGTGTATTACAATGAAGATTAAATAAATATATAGGCTGTTATGAATGAATAATCTAAGAAACTACTAAATCCCCCCTGTAAAACAAATACATGTAATTCTGTTGGTGGTTCTATTAAAATAAATAAACTAAAAAAATATAACACAAAATTGATTAGATTTTTTGGCAATCAATTGTTGTTATTCCCAGTGGCTTTATCAACTACAGGCTCTGCGGTAGCGGTGTAAGTAATTTGATCATCCCATATTGTTCCGAGGGTAAGAGGCTACTGTATAAAATATCAGGAACATCTTAAGGTTTTCGACTGATAGTAGCCTAACCATCTTGTTTATGATAATTAATAGAATCAGTTGTTACTTTGCGGAAATATATTCTGGTTTCTTTTTTTTTTAAAAGTTACTACCACACTAGGATTTTCTCCTGTATCGTGGAGGCAGTTTACAAACATCCAGATGTGGAATAATTGTTTGTAGTTTGTAGGCCATAAAAATACTTGTTTCAGGATTTGAACCTGCACGGAACAATTCTCTATTATATTCAAGTTTGTAAAAATTACCTTGCTTACATCCGTTTAATGAAATAAAATGATGTGTCTTAGCTGGTTTGAAGAGTATGTATCAATATAACTCTTTATACAATCTTTGTTTAATAAGATAATTAAAATGTGGTTTAGATTGATTGTTCCTTAAAACACTTTAATTAGGTATATATGTAATGATTTAGCAACACATTCTTAACTTTTCCAGGCCTCAATTGACGATCCACCTACGGCCTGCTGCAGATCAGGATGTGCTAATTGTGTCTTTATTGTATGGGCAGAAGCACTAGCTTCAAAGATGGAGAATGCAGGACCTGATATTACAGAGAAGATAATGAAAATGGTAGATGACCCCTCTATGAAAGCCTATCTGGAGATGGAGTTGAGGATAAGAGGCTTGAAGAAGTAGAAATGTTACATTAGTACAAAAAGTAGAAGCCTTCATACAGTTAACTTCTAGGCACAGGTCTCATCTAATTTCTGTGTGCTTTTGAAGCAGATAGGAGCTGACTGGGCTGTCCTGCATGCATGTACCTTGAAATATGTCTTACCCTCTGAGCTAGCACAGTTACCCGCATACATTAATTGTATTTAGTACTACTAAGAATCAAAAATTTTTTTTATTAATTAATTATATAATTAATTATTTATTAATGGTATAAATAATGATTAATTAATTATTTATTGATTAATAAATTATGTTTTATTTATTATATAAATAAAAATGATTTTATTTATACAATTAATTGAAAAAAAATTATTTAATTTTTTATACATACTACAAATCTAAAAAAAATATGTAAAGATAAGTAAACCTATGGGTTTATGCTTTTACATGAGACACTATAACATTTTCTGTATATTTTTTGATAACCTCTACAACAGGCATAGTCAACATAAAGGATTGTGCCTAAGGTCTCGCCCACAACAAGGGCTGATACCATGAACGTGTTATGAATGCACCAGGCATGAAGGAACACGACAGTTTATACTATGTGTACTAGAATGTATCAACAACCTGTTATACATATATACTCAATGCCTAGTGACCATATCATCCCTTAAATAAATGTATGACTTTAATGCTCATTCTGTCAGTTGTAGCTGATTTTGTCTGTGTTTTAGTGTCAGACGAATGTGTCAGGAGCTAAGAGTCATTCTTGTGGTCGTCATCCTATATTTTAAGTAAGCAATTTATGATGTATATAATATTTAATTTATTTCTCGAAATGGGCTCTAACGATTTTTTTGAAATTTTTAAAGTCGTTAATGACTACATTGTTGTAGATATGCATTATCCCTTTCATCCCTAACAATTTTTCTAATACCAAACAAAGCTCGGTTGCCTGGATATTTTATAATAAAATACTTGAATGGTGGCTATTAGAAAATGCTGATAAATATTATTTGGATCCTCAGGGTGAGGATACGGATTGCATTGCAGGATACATTTGGCTTGGCCGCCTTCATTAAGTGTATTGGTAGCTGACAAATGTTATCGTCGTGGATTCGCTGGCAGTCCCGTCAGTGCTTGCTTCGCTGTTGATTGTTGACGGAACAAATCATGGGTGTTGTTGCATATTAATTTATTTATATTTTATACAAAAAATATTTCTTTGGAAGTAAAGGAAAGCAAAGAGTTGGGGGGGGGGGGGGTGACTCGAACTTTACGCTTAGTCAGTTTGAATAGCCTATCATGTAGAGGGTGTTATGGTTGAATGGGGGCAAAAAGTTCTCATTACAGTCCTAGGGAGTCAAAAGGGCCAAAAACAAAAAAAAAAAAAATTCGGCATAACTCCGCCTCCTTCAGAAGTTCGTATACAGACTTTACTTCCCGAATCCCACTTGTTCCATATAGCATTATGGTTATGGTCATGGTATGGAATGTTGTAATAGTCAGAGGGGTCACAGAACATACAATGTTAAAGCATTACCAGACGGTGTTAGGAGTTAGATTTCCCTCTTCTTCGTTATGCTCCTGTCTATGTAGTAATAATAATAATAATGTCCTCCAAACCGAATTTCGGTCACGGCGGCAAGTGTATGCGCAAGCACAGGTGCACTCTCTATTCCCTCACTCTCATAGTCCGATGGGACGGTAAACCGACACGACCGGTGAGATATCAGGCGCAGGACCCACGGCTTTACGTGCTTTCCGAGGCACGGGAGTGAGACACCGCTAACTTCCTGACTCCGGGTAGCTATTGAGAATTTCTTGATGGAAAAACTCAATAACTGATTTTTTTGGCCCGACACGTGATTCGAACCTGGGACCTCATGATCAGCAGTCGCACTACTACAACCACTAGACCAACGAGGCAGTCATGTAGTAATACAATGCTGTTGAAAAACATCACCATAAAAACACCTGGGCTGAATTGTAGGCACTTAATTTCCCTTATCTTTGTATTAGTGTTTGACTAATGTTAGTTTTATATTGTACAATGCTATAAAAATTAGCACTAAGTACCAAAGATTTTTGATTTACTCTACTAAGTAAAATATATATTTTTATAAAGATAGATATTGTATTAAACAATTGTACTGTTATAAAAGTTATGTAAATAAAAGTTGTTAATACTATTTGTATTAAAAAGGCTCAATGCAAACATCCACCTATCAATTCGTATTAATGTTTTAACATTGGAACTACATATAGATGTAGTAGTATTATCGTCCTCTGCATTAAAAGCCTGGATATGGGCCTCTTCCGTAGGAAAGATTTGCATTTTTCTGGCAGTTTCCATGGTTGCTTCTTATGACACCCGTGGGACGAAATGGGAGCGATGGACTCTCCTACGCCGCTACATCACGTCACGGACCTTAATGTATCACTAAACTAAATCAGCAACTTATAATTATTGTGTTTAGCATTATACTTTCATTGGGTTTCAACACCCCGTGTGGTGCCGGGTAGCACCACCCAAACTCTTCCCGTGGGTGTCGTAAAAACCGACTAAGGGACAAATCCAGGGAATGGGCAGCAGCGTTCCTTGTTAATATAATACTTTGGACTGCGCTCGCCAACCCGCCTGCCAAGCGTAGCGAGTATGGCATATACCTCCCTTAATGGGGGAGGCCCCTGTCCAGCAGTGGACTGTCGTGGCTGATGCGGTAGTGGTGGTGGTGGGTTAAAAAACCCTTGATATTTGACTCAATAAATTATAAATTCTGAGAGTCAAGCAGCTTTGCTAGCTCGGAAATAAAACTTAGTGACCTCAAAGCAAGTGGGAGACTGCGTGATCCGTTTAACGTTCTGGGGTGTAACCACAGCGTCGTTTTAAGATAGGTTTCGGGTCATGCGGGTATTGTGGGCAATGAACAAGGTGATAAGCTCGCGCGGGAGGGGTCAAAGAGAACACAATTTGGACCTAAACCATTTTGTGGAATTTTAAAAAGCTTCGCCCGACTGACCCTTGTAATTTTGAACCTACCACAAAAAATCACTTAAGATCTGGAATGATACACCAGGTAATTAAAATATTCCAAAACCTTAATCCGGGCATAGGTTTTTAAAATTATTTTATTTGCTAAGGATAAACTGCGTATTCTGGCAAGATGCCTGACTGGACACTGTTGCCTCAAAAATCACATGTCCATCCTATTTGATTAAGCAACTCAAGGATGTGCCAATTCTGTTCCTTAACGGAAGAAAAACCTCTGCATATCCTAACCGATTGCGACCCTTGGTGCGCGAACGTAACACTCATCTGGGAAACTACGTACTTGACCCAGAAGATGTGATGATGCTGGTAGCTAAGCAACTCCTTCAATTCATTGAACATTAAGGCCGTGAACTATAGCCATAGCAGCGATTACAATAGACGAATACGTTTTCGTATACCTAAATATTTTCTGTGGTCTTCCTGCTGTCCTGGTAGCGTAGTGTTGGCTGCGGGCCAAAATTAACGATTGGCTGTTTCGTTGGTTTAGTGGTCGTGAGTGCTACTGCTGATTATGAGGTCCCGGGCACGAATACCGAGTCGAGCCAAAGATCACATTTTGGGATTTTCTGTCATGAAATTCTGAGTAGCAACCCAGAGTGAGGATGTTGGCGGTGTTTCACCCCCGTCTCTTGGATAGCACGTAAAGTCGTTGGTCCTACGCCTGATCTCTATCCGGTCGTGTCGGAATGGCGTCCCATCGGACTGTAAGTGTGAAGGAATAGACAGTGCACTTGTACTTGCACACACACTAGTGCACTATTATATTTACACGTGGTAGAGCCATGCTGCAGCTATTATTAGTATAGTTGTAGCAGTAACGACCGGTCGGCTCGAATAACGAATAAAAAAACGAATAGTCGGCTCGACCGTTGAAGGACCACGCTCTCGCAGAAAACCAGCGTAAAATAGCAGCTTAATTCTGCTGTGTATCTTATAGTAAGTGTAGAAAACCGGAGACCCTTTTTCTGGAAACGAGGCATTCCATCTTGGTCCTCACGGGTGACGACGCATCTGCATTTTGATCCGTAATCGAAGATAGATGTAGATTTATGGGTCACAGCAGCCAATTACCATCAGGTGGACTGTGTGCTCGTTTTTCACTTTATAAAAAATATAAAAAAGTAAGTAATTTTTTCCCATGGATAGATTTAAGTTATTCAAGGGAAACATTGATACCCAACTTCGGACTAATAGCGAAATCAATTCAAAAATCTCGGCATCTGATACAGAACCTTTGCAGATTCTTTTCCAGTGTTTATCGCTCATCCAACACAGATTCACAAGGATATTATTCCTAGGAATTAAGGCGACATTTAATTTGTGTAGAGGCTACTAAATGAACTATCAAATTGTAACAATGTCCATCTAACAACGCTCTTGATGGTAAAGTGGCTTTTGCAGAATCTTGTAGACGTGCGTAACTCGGCGAAATTCCTTGTGTTAACTCAGTAACTCAGGCGCAGTTTACTTCATTGAGTTAAATTAAAAATTGCGCTATAGCGCAACAAATATTATACATAGCAGTCAATTCAATCATCTGTAAAAATAAAACCTTGTGGCCAGTAACTCTATCACTCCTTTTAGTTTTCACGGAGTTGCAGTTTATAAAAATAATATAATTTAAGATTTGTGCAATACCATAAGTGATAAGTAACACTTAATTCTGCGGGCAACTCAACACCTTGACAGCTTTCGAATTTCCCAGTCCTGTGCTATGCGCCAATACATTTTGAAGAAGCGAGTTAACACATCCGGCGCAGTGAACTGAATTGGCGCAATTGCGCGGCGTAGTGCAGTGTTATTTTGCGGGGCGATTGACTCAAAGCTTACTAAAGGTACTCTGTATGTTACGTGGTGGAGCCATGCTGCAGCTATATTATGGTTGTAGCACGAATGGGTCGGCTTAACCGGGGTAGGACCGCTCTCTCCTAGAATACACTTTCGTATGGTGAATGTAGAGAAGCAGATACCCTTATTACTAGAAAGAGGCATTCCATCTCAGTCCTCAGGGGTGACAACGCATCAGCATTTTGATTTTTAGTTGAGGGTAAATTTAGACGTCTATGGGCCACAGTATCCACTTACCATGAGGTGGATGTTCTTCACCCTTTGTCACCCTTATTCTATAAAAAAAAGAAATAAAAGAAGTCTGATTTAGCGTTTTAAGGAAAAATAACCCATTACGAGGGGACCAGAGAAAAATGAATTAAGGTAAGGTGGGGTAAGAGGGACACCGGGGGAAGAGGGACTAGGGACCATAACTAGTAAACCGAAGTGTTTATGACTATGAACTTTCCGTCGATAAAACAGTTAAGACGAAATAGTTTGAACGGTTTTCATAAGATGTCGCTACGTGACTCAGAAGCCACAAAAAATAAAGACATGTTTGACAGTTTCGAATTCGACTAGTACAAAGTTAGCGCGTTTTTTTGCGAACCAATAGTTTGGTGAAAAAAGAGTGCTGGAAATATTTTAAATGTAATGATACACGGAAAATACTGTAAGTATTCCTTTTCATTAATCATTTTAGTTTAAAAACAATTAATAATATGAGTTTCTTTCGCTTGAAAATCCCAACCTCCAAAAACAATAGCTGGGGTAAGAGGCTCATTATTCCCGGTGAAAGAGGGACATATGTTTCTCTTTCCCCATGTCAGGGGTAACACACATTTTGAAAAATTTATAATTATAGGTAGATAAAATGTAAAGAATTGACTGACTGTTCTGTACCTACTACAATTTTAAATTATAACTAAACTAGAAATTGCCCGCGACTTCGTTCGCGTGTAACTGGACTTTCCCGGAAATTGTCGTTTGATCGTATAATTTATATCCTGTGTTACCCAGGAATAATGCAGCATTCTGTGTTAAAGAATTTTCAAATCGGTCTTCTAGTTTTTGTTTTACCTAAATCATAACAAATAGATGTAAATCAAACCTTTTCTTTTTATTATATTAGTTTAGATAATTAAAGTCTCATGCGTTTTGTATATGTCCCTGTCTTTTTAATTTTAATATTTTGTTATATTATAGCACTTTTGACTGTTGCAGGATATATGATAAAACATGCCGCGAAAATATATAAGAAAATCTGATAGAAGCAGATATGATTATGATAAATTAACTGAGGCTGTCAATGCAGTAAAAAATGGAACGATATCTGCATACGCCGCATCAAAACAATATAATATCCCAAGAACAACAATTGTCAACCGTGTATACGACCGCAAAGGTTTAAAATCCAAAACTTTAGGTAGGTGTACTGCATTACCCAGGGATGTGGAAGAAACGCTTGCGGAAAATCTCCACGTAATGGAAAAATCAGGGTTTGGGTTAACGCGCAAGGAAGTGATTGAATTGGTTGGCCAATACGTGGTTAAGAATAATATTAAAACCCCGTTTAAAGATGGAATCCCTGGTGAGGACTGGTTTATTGCTTTTAAAAATAGACATGGCCTTTCTGTTAAAAAACCTCAGGCCGTTGAACACGCGCGTAGAACTGCATGCAGACCTGCCGTGATCTACGGTTACTTTGATTTATTAGAGAAAACTATTAATGAACTGGGCTTACGTGATAAACCATCACATATTTGGAATCTCGACGAGACCAGCTTCAGTAAGGACCCGAATAAATCAAATGTTGTTGGTCGTCGAGGCTATACGTCTACAAGAACCATCGCCTCTCCAGGGAAAACGAATACAACTGTGCTTTTAGCATGCAATGCCGCTGGTGACAAAGCTCCGCCGCTAATTATATACACAGGAAAAAATATCTGGAACGAATGGGTTTCTCAAGATGGGTTTCCTGGAACCGTTTATGCTGCGACTGAAAAAGGTTGGATGGAGGCGACAGTATTCGAAAATTTTTTCGAAAAAGTTTTTTTGCCTACCGTTGAAAATAAACGCCCTATTCTCTTGCTTTATGATGGTCATTCCACTCATGTGGGAATTAATATAATACAAAAGGCACGAGAAAATAACGTAACGATTTTAAAAATCCCACCTCATACGAGTCATCTATTGCAGCCTCTGGATCTAGCGGTGAATAAATCGTTCAAAGACAAATGGGACATAGCGTTGGTCAAATGGCAAAGACTGAACGTCGGTAAGGTTTTACCCAAAAAAGAGTTTTCAACGATTCTTGGCCAAGTGTGGACGCAGATAGATTCCGAAGTATGTAAAGCAGGCTTCCGTAAAGCAGGGATATACCCAATAAATAAATATGTCATAGCTGAACACAAGTTTGACCCAGTTCAGTTAGCAGAATGGAAGAATGCGAAACAGCTAGAAAAATCACAAAATCAACTTGTTAAACAAATATCCCCCAAAAAATTGAGTGAAATCGCACTGACTGTTGTAAATGAAATATATATAATACAGCAGGAAGTTCCTCAGTGTGATTCAATAGAAGCGTCACCAAATTACGTTTTACACAGCGAAGAAAAAGCTGTTCCATTGCAAAATATTGAAAATGTTCAACAGGGTCCTAAAGTCCAAATTCTTGACAATCAGCGTGTATATACCAATATCACATTTGAAGAGTTGCTTCTGAAAATGATTAAGCCTGGAAAACCATCTTTGACAACCAAAAGAACAAAAATAGCAACAGGCGCAGAGGTCATCACTCATGATCATGTGTTCGAAAGATATCAAAAAATGGAAGCAGAAAAAAAAGAAAAGTTGAAAAAGCAAGAAGAAAAGAAAACAAGTAAAGAAAAAAATAAATCAACGGAAAAAAGAGCGAGCACAAATAATAAGACTGGAGCAGAAAAAAATAACGAGGCGAAAAGGTGTGAGAACGGGGGTAATTATAAGCAGACTGATATACAGGTTTCTCGAGTGGATATGTCATTACCAGGTCCATCAGGTCTTAACAAAAAGAGGAAAATTAAAAGTGAGTTAAAAAAGAGTAAAACCATAAATTCTACAAAAAAAATAGTTCGACGAAATAAAAAACTTAGAAAAATATCATCATCCTCATCTACCAGCATATCTGATTGCATGAGCGTGCATGAGGATTCTGATATTATAGACGTGACCGATGAAGAATATGATATAACAAGAGATTTATACACCAACGAATTTATACAAAATTATGAACCCTGTAATGAAGAAGAAGATAAAATGTTTAGCATAGACAAGAAAAGCAATGTGGTGAAGAAATTTGGTGAGAATCCGGACAAGCAAAGCAAGGAGACAGTGAATTTGACTGAGGAATCAGATGAAACTAATATGGTAGCAGGAGAATTTAATGGCGAATTGGATGGGCTGACAGAAGTGGAAAAGGAAGAGCATTGTGCATTTAATGACCAAGCGGTTACTGAGGGGAACAAGGTGATACATGAAATCAGTGGGATATCGGATGAGAGAAACGATATTGTTGAAAAAGTTTGTGATAGTTCGAATGAGAGAAATCAGGCGGCAAAAGAAGTTAGTGAGAGATCGCATCAAAGTAACAACAATACAACAGCAAAAGAAGGAAATGAGAAATGGGATGTGAAGAAAAATATAGAAGAGAAAGAGAATTATAAAATAAATGACAATGTCTTGATTCGATACTTTATCAGGAAAAAGTGGGTGTATTATGTAGGTTACATAGAAAATATACTTTCTGGAAGCGATACTAGTTATAATATAAACTTTTACAAAACTTACAAAAAGCCTCTGAAATTTAAACTCGCTAAACAAGTAGATCGTGATACCGTTTTAGAATATTCTATAGTCAAGAAAGTTCACCTGCATAGACTAATATATAATACTGGAGATAGACTGGCAACTGAAGTTTTCATATTTAGTTACCGTTCAGCGCCCTCTGAACGCGAAGCAATGAACTAAATGAAACATTATATATATATATATATATATATATATATATAGTTGCGTATATGGCAATATGTATAGGTACTTACGTATGAATTACTGTTTTATTTATAGATAGAATATTTTATCTATAAATAAAACGGCAATTCATACGTAAGTACCTATACATATTATTTATATTTCGTTTTAGATACTTAAACAGTGTTTTGAAGTAAGCATATTTTTGGTGATGTTTTTAGACACACAAGTTTAAGTATCTTTGGGTATTCGGGTAAAGGTAATGAGATAAATAATACGAAAATATATAATTCAATAAATTTATTAATTATACATTAATACATTAATTTCGACGCCTTTTTGCCTCTCGTTTCGCACCCTTGTAATGTTCTCGAGCCTGTAGGAAAATGGAGACATTTTCATCACTATCATTACATAAATTATAATAGCTCTTGCCATTGAGTATATTGCTGAATTCGTTGCACCAAGTAATTATGAAGAACACAACACTTTTATGGACCAAATATTTCTTTAAATTTTCTTTGTTTTTCACATTTCATAAAATTTAAGTTGATGTAGACAGAACAGCATGATATATTTAACAATGTTTTCTACATGTGCATTTATTTAAAATATTCCATGTTATGTGTTCTACTTGTGCAAAAAAGTCAAACAATAACCGGGTAGTATAGCATAACCATCTTTTGCCACAATATTCTTTTTTTATTATAAAATAGTGAAAATCTTCATTATTTGATGATATTAAATTATTTTGACATGTTTTACATTTTTTAAATATAATTTTTTTTGCTTTGGTTGCTATCTACCCACTACAATAAACTATGGCCGCGCATTTCTCTACATGAACTTGGGAACGGCTTTCTCGAATTTGTTGTGTATTTATTAAATCAATATTTAAATGTTCATTGATAATTTCCATTAAGTCATTAGCATCTTCCACATTACAATTTTGGTATATTAAAGATTTTTATGATTTTAAACATATACTGTCATATTATTCACAATTTCCTTCTAAGGAGTGTGGGAATGTTATATTAATTTGTTAATAATGTTTTAAATGCGGTTTCAAAAGCCGCTGACTTGGGCATTACATTATTATAGCCATGAGCGCTTATTGCCCCAAAAAAGTTTTCCAAAGGGTGTTGGTTTACATTACGTAACAATAATGAATTTACTTCTTCTGCCCTTAACTTATTTGTTATTAATTTAAAACCTTCTATAGTTTTTACCCAACTGGTTAGAGATGGTACAGTTACCTTTTTACCATTAGTATTTATTTACTTCATTGACCTTAAAATGGGTAATGTTTTGTTCCATAATTTTAAATGGAATGAGTTTGGTGTGACAGCAGATCTGTATATTTTACCTTCTTCTTTATGTTAATTTTAGTCGAACAGGTTGTTGAACAGCATTATCAAATGTGTAGTGTCCACACTTTCCTCTGGCAAGCACCCACTTTCTAGAAACGAAAATTTTATGTTAAATATATATAAGTATTAAATTGTTGTATTTGCTTTTTTTTTATTGGGGCATCCTAAACTACTGGATAATGTTTAGAAGCATTTCACACCAAGTGTACATTATGTGCCTCATAAAACATGCATCATACAAATCATTTTTCGGCTACTGATATTGTTTATAATAATTCATTACTGTCCCGCTGCTAGGCACTGGCCTCTCAGAAGTAGAACGATTAAGCCTTAGTCCACATGCTGCCCTGATGTGGTTTAGCGGACTTCACACACATTGACAACTTTATGAGGCCCTCTCAGGTGTGGAGGTTTCCTCCCGATGTTTTCCAGCACTGTTAACGCAAGTAATCAATAATCAAATTCTGTTCCTCACATAACCTGCATGAAATGCAATTGTTTGACCGCTGGGCTATAATGCCATTTTGTTTTTATAAAGAAAATGTAGGTACCAAATTTTATTGAAACTCAATTCAAATTAATGTTTAATGATTATGACTTACATTACTCCCGGGTTGCCTAACAAAAATTTGTCCCACATACCTTTAATTAAATATATTGTAATTAAAACAAATTGCAAAAACATATTATATTGTTTTTGGTTAATTCACTTAATTCATTAGTTTCACACAGGTTATAAATGAATGAACAATAAATATATGTTTTATTGTACATTCATTTATAACCTGTGTGAAACTAACGCAGTTGCTATTATTAAATAAACTTAATCAAAAACTGATTTACCTGATACACCTGCAGAGGGTAAAAGCAAAGATGGAACAGCCAATTTACAAAGCCTGTTTTTTGGGTAAAGAAACTTTCTGAAAGTGCTGACGACAGATTCTATGAGTTTTACGGACAGTGGTGTTGTCCAGACTCACAATACCACCTACAATAATCTTTACCCAATTATGAAACCAATCTGCATCTTTCTCAGGACATGAAAAGTAATGTAGAGGTACACCTGAAAATAAAATAAAGTGACTATAATGGGCCTGACTGAAATGTGATTTTTAATCTTTCTAAGTTACTCTACATTATTTTACAATACATAATAATGTAATTTAATAAAATAAATAAAGTTATTGATAAATAATTAATCATAATTATTTTTCTAGATCACTTAGTTCAGAGTTCTAAAGACTAGCAGTGTTATAAAAGACAATTTCAAAAACTCAAAAGCCCGGCTAAAGGGGTGTAGGTAGATGCAGATGTATAGACCCACATTTTATGTGAGAGAGTTTATTATAATTACATATATATCATCTGATATCAAGGATGATGTTTTGTACCATAGGGACAATCAACTAAATTAATAATTTTCATCATTTTCTCAGTCGGTCTAGGTTATTTACTAAAGATAAAGAATCTTGATAATATAATTATGTCTTTTCACTTTACCTTGCATTTCAAAAATCTAAGAATTTACAAATGAAATATATATAAAACTTCTTGTGAACTCTATGTAATAGTTAAGTCGGTGGCTTGTCTTAGATTCATTAGTAAATTTAGAGATTTTTTCAATCTAAGTCAAATCTTATTTACTCATTTAGACCATATCAATAGGCACTTTTGAAAGTCGAGACTTTAGGTGCATGTTCGTAAATGTAGATTCCGATGGAGAAAAACATGCAAGAAACTCAACTTTTAATTGCAAATTGAGAAAAAAGACATGTCAAGATTGTTTACCAGTTTATCATGTTTTAGTCCTTGCTCTAAGGTTTACTATGACTTAACTGAGCCGACAGACTACGGCCCGTATTCTAAAACGACACTTGGCGACGATCTCAACTTGAGCACATCTTAGTGACGTATTTGTATGAAATGATAGACTCAAATCATTCTCAAGTAAAGCTGTGTTTGAGCGTCATTCTAGAATAAGAACCTACATGTAGCATTTATGATTTCTAAATGTTAAAAAACCTTATAGGAACCAATGGTATTTTAGAATTTTTGACTTACTGAATAAATAGAAATGTTGTTTTTTACTGCTTTTTAATTGTTAAAAACAGATTAACCAGTTTATGGTGTATTAGGCACGTGGAATATAAGCCAGCGTAGAATACACATATTTGTTTAAAAGACTATTGAGGTTATGAAACTTCAGAATATAAAAACACACTTTACTCACCATCTTCTGCTACTACTTGGCACCCAGGAACACAGAAGATATTTCGAGGCATTGTGTAAAATGTAAAATAACACTACACTGAGATATATGGTCCAAACTCCCTACGGGGGCCTATCAACATGTATGTCCAAAACACTTTCACAAAGTACAGTCTATGCTGGAATTTCGGTATTTCTGGAATATACGAAGAAACTGAAGCTCGATTCAACGTAGTAACACAAAAAACACCAAAAATTACAAGAAAATGCGCACGAGTATGCAAACACGCCGGTGAAAAATTTCTTCAAGTTCGACTCAGTGTTGCTAAAATTTGGTATCAATAAACTACTCTAAAGATTCTAAGATCGTAACTGTAATAAATACTATATAAATTATAATATCACTATGTAGTAATACAAAAAAATATAAAATATTTTTAAAATAAATTATACTGTTGTTAAATCATTTATTTTTGTGTACCTGGACCAATAAAAGAAAAATAGCAAAATTATCAGTTATTTTAAAGTACCAAGTGTTCCAAGTAAAAAAGAGTGGTCACACTGCAATAAAAAGCTCCATGTATGTGGGATAGATGGCGTTTTTCATAATAAATAAAAAATGTTTTAAGTTACCAGGGCATGTTCACCTGTCTCAAAACCCTAGAAATTCCAAAGAATTTCTTTTGGATGGAGAAGATCATATATATTTTTCTTAAATATTTATGAGGCTCTGTACGGCAATTTAATTGATTCAAGTGCCTTGCTTCAACAATAATTTCACATATTTTATAACAGTTTTGAATTTTGATTTTAATTTTAATAGTTTTGTTGTTTATTTTTATAATAATTTTGGTTTTTTTTTTAGAAGAATTAAAAGACTGATTCACAATATTGATCTCGTTACATAGTGCCATTGCTATTTTTAAAGAGTAACTAACTAGGTTAGGGAGAGACTGTTTATTATTACTGTTTGTATGAATAAATAAATATTGAAATATAACTGGTCGACTTGTTTTTAGTTTGCCACCCCTGATCGAACCTGTATGTCCCTCTTACCCCGTTTTGATTTATTCTTCTTTTTCATTCCAAATGATACCTTATTTAATCGATTGTAAGATCAAATTTTGACCTAAGCAGTTCTACCAACAAATTAACGAACATTTAGCAACGAATATTTTAATTCAAACTCCAAACTTAAGAAATAAAATGACTGTCCCTCTTACCCCATGTGAGGGGGAAGAGGAACGTTTACTTAATCCTGACATTTACCTCAATATCGTCGTAAGAACTAATAATGGCGTAATGACATTTAGCCCATGGGAAGCTAATACATAAAGGCAAGTTTTGTGTGTTTCAAAGATCTTAAAAGGCTTTAGCTGTTCTTCCTAGCGGTCAAAATATTTTACTGAAAATGAAGTA